ATGTTATTTCCCTGACTCATCCCTAATTGAGATCAAATACATTTAATATTCATAGATGGCTCTGCGTTGGCCTTGTCTGGGTTTTACTCTCATATTTGTTTTGTCATTTTACGCTTAATTTGAAGTTAGAGAAATAATCCCACTGGATTAAGGACAGAGATGGCTGCACTGTGCAGGGAGATCTTCTTCAGTTACAGAGCAGAGCCAGACCATTGCAAAATGTGTTTGCTCAGAAAGAAGATCTTCATATTTGTTACAGCTGTCAGAGTAGGGGAGTGATGAAGCCTTAGGCAACTGTCTGAAACTTGATGCCTAGGTTTGCAATTAATCATCAAATGCCTTTCGTAAGAGACAATTCTCTTACATTAATACCCTGGCTAGGTACATATAAAATGCCACAAGATCCAGATTTTATAAAGATAATTAGACTGTTAAATGCAGGGCCAACATTAATAAAGCAATGCAATCAAAATTATTCTTTTAACAATCTACAGAGGTTTTCAAACAATACTAGTGATTATACAGTAGTTAAGAGTTTTCTAAAACTTGTTTCTAAATTATTAAATGGTATAGTGCCTTCTCAAGAGACTGCAAGAGAACTTGTTGAACCAGACCTGAAACTCAAAGTTGTGGGGTTGACTGTGTAGCAATACCTGTAAACTCTTCCTGTTTTATTGAAATCTAGTGGTTGAACATAAACGCATACATTTTTATTTATTTGCTTGTCATGAGGAAAGATGAGAAGATACAAAGTCTTGGTGTTGGATTTTGTTACATAAAAAGCTAGACGTTTTTGAGCTTTAATGGAGAAGGAGGACTAAATTAAGATAAACTTTAGTATTACATACAGGAATCAGAGAAAAAGTGAAACAAAACTTTACAATTCAAATTCACAAGTCTGAAAATTAAAATCAATTGATTAGCCCTAAATAACATTCGCTCTCAGAATTGTGAGTGTTAGTGCCTAGACCTGCATAGATAAAGCATTTCCAAATTACCAAGCTACAAAGAAAAGAACAATTTATTACTAGAGCCTCAGAGGAAAGAACAATTTTCACTCCTGCAGCCAGTCCCTTAGACATTTGTATGATTTGTGCTTCTGAAGAAACAATAAACTACCACTCCACGAGCCAGAAATGTTTATATTGGAAATAGGGGAGTGCTTAGGCAAGGATGGTCTGTTTCTAATTAACATCTGAGCTTAAAGCAGGGAGGCATGACTAATTTAGCCATTTGTATATTACAGCTGATTCAATGAAATAAGTGAGAGTTGATATTGGAGCCCATCTATTATTCAACAAAGGTCTGTGCCAACACTTAGGAACACCCTGTGTTCACAATGAGTGATTTCCAAATCCACAGTATGTGTCAAACCAGCAGGACTGACAAGCTGCTTCACCTGTCACCCGAAGCCTCCTTACAAAAGGATTTTCTCAAAATCTCATGATTTGAATGCAAATATGTAAAAAACAAAAACTTTCATGATCAAGACTTACACCCTCTACCACCCTGTAAAACACTTTATTTAAACTCTTAGTTTTCCATTTGCTGCTTTCTATACACAAACAATTAAGGAAAGTATTTCCCTAAACTTAGTAAAATCCCATTTATCAATTTTGTGCTTATACATATTTTTCAGGAAATGTTTTGTCATATATATTGGTTATAATTTAAAAAAATGTAACAATCTGTTTTGAAATCAAATGTTTTATATCTGGTTACAGCGATCTGTATAAATGGAGAATAATATGGTTCTATGGTTCAAAGACAAATAATCCTACAGACAGTGAAGGTACTGTACAAACCTATTCTCCCTTAAAGGCTGGGTGGGAATTTATGATTGAGCATGCAGTTAATCTCTCCAATTTTGTGAATGCCAGAGCCACTAAATTATTTCCTATTATTAACCTTTATTTCTGGATAGCTGCATGCATACAATGTTTCAGTGTTATATAAACAAAGTTCATGGTACTGGAGACCTGTGGTCACAGATTCTAAAATACTTCATCTACTAAAATTATTATTTTAGCTAACTGCAGATACTGACTGGAAATACTGTACGTTTTAGTGCTGCTACCAGAGATCATTCACTGTTCGATGAATGAGTTTTAAAATATTTTCCAAACCTTCCTATACATTATTCTGAATTATTCTTATGCTCTTTTTGACTTATATTAACACTGTTAGGAATGAAAGTGAGTGTGTATTATGTGGAGTGTGGTCTTCTAATGTTCAGAGTAAGTGAGACCTCATTTCTTTTGGCTGTAGACTAAAAGCAAAGCGAACTCACAGCTTTATCTTTTCATGTGGGTTTATAGAAGGATATCCCATGGGTTTGTCTGAAATCCACAGAGATGTATATGTGCTTTGTGGAAGACTGGCATAATTAAAGTGGTGTGTTCAATACACCTCATAATGAGATTCAAGATTTGACAGTTGACTGTGATTTTTTTCTGCTTTAATGAGGACTTTGCTCTAAAGCTTCTGTAATCAGTTTTGCTCCTTCCTACACTGAGGTACAAACGAAAAGTTTGTTATGATGTCTGTCAATAAGGGAAAAATGGAATGAGCTCTCTCTTACTTTACTGAGATTACAATCTTTGCATATTATTGTGGCTTTTTCAGTACTTCAAAAAATTAAATCTATTTTCCATTAATGAGATTCCAGAAGCAAATGGAATTGCATTTTAATGCTAAATAATTTACAAAATGAGCTGTCACTGGTGATAGGAAAAATTGCTTGTTTGAACATTACTGAAGGGTGTTAGTCTAAGAAATCTTACAAATAAAATACTGTGATCTAGGTACCTTCAATACGTATGAGGATTTTGTGTAAGAATCCAAAACATTGCATGCATTTTTACAATGAAGGCAGACAGTTTACAGTCAGGTCTATTAGAAACAATGTGACTGTACCCTGCAATTTACAGGACTTAATGATCAGCTTTAACACTTGTAGTGTGTAGCCTCCCATGCTCCACCTGTCAATCTTAGATGTGTACAATACACTATAGTGACGTTTTGTTGGTATTGTAAAGAAGATGAATTGCTGTGTGGTAATCACAAGAGTATTATAGGATTTGCTACGAGGTCACATTGAGGCACTCACTACACCTATGAGCCAGTGCTTTTAAGGAGTAACTTCTGTAAAAGCAGGTGGCGGGTTGCTTTAGGATACTGAGGTTTTGCAAAGCTATTATGATAGTAGAAAGAATTATAATTATATTAAATGAGGCAAAGGATTGTTGCAGGAGTATCACCCTTAGATTGCATGCAGAATGATTTAGTATGTTTTACTGTATGTTAAACAATTTCTGACAAGTCTTTTAAATTATCATTTATTGTGTTTTCCTTCTGCTGCATAGGTGAATAGGTTTAATTACATAAGAGCTATTTATAAAAAGATGGATTGGCCTCAGTGGTGTTCTTTAGGATCACTGTGTTTCTGTTAAGTGAATATTGGGGAAGAGTAACAGTGTCTGGAAAACGTTGGACTGCTTTGACTTGGTTTAAGGCCCTTGTAAGGAGGAGATGCTGCGGTTGTCAGACAGAAGGACCACCCAGCTGTGGCTTGGGTATAGTACATTTATTGTAGAGGTCAGGGAGATACAGGAGCTGTTTCTCCCAGAGGATGACCAAATGAACCACAATGAGTATAGTCCTGTTTATTATATATTAGAAACCTAAAACAAATCTAATAACTATTTCTCTGCACAGTTTTAAAATGGTTTCAGTTGAAAGGTACTTAAAAGCTAACATAAGACAACTTGGTACGTCAGTTCAGCATGAATAGTTCTATATTGCTGACCTGTGTTTTTATATCAATATAAAATAGTTACAATATCAAAAACCCATTTGAATATCGCCTTCCTAAAAACCTGTATGGGCTATTGAAGGAATCTCTTACCTAGTGAGGGAAAAAGGAGTCTATTAATCTTTATTTAAAAAAAATAAACTTGGTTCCATCTGTGGAGGAATGAGCATTTGCTGAGCAGTTCTGTCTACATAACAAATCATTCCAAACAAGTCCGAAAAATCAACTGGTCCATCGACTCCAAAAAGTAAAAAGCAAAACATCCGTTTTTCAAAGCCTGTCCTCTCCAGTAAAAAGCATGCTGTTTATAAATGTTTGTGGAGTACATTTTAGGCTTGTAAATATGTCAAGTAGAAGACTGGAATGATGAAACATGATTTGAAAGCCCAAGCAAATCTTGCAACCATGTGATATCACTCGTGGATTTTGGGGGGAAATAGTTCATACTGCTTTTATAGGGAGGGCATCTGGGGAGTAGAGGTTGTGTCTGTGGGAGTGGGTTTTATTTCAAGTTGTTTTCATAAAGTTAGCAGCGCTAAATCTTTTCACTAAGTAAGAAGGCAGTTGATAGATATCAGTGATAGTTATATTAAATAAATTATTTAATTATTAAAGAGCTAGGGCATTCTGTACATGGTGCCTTACTTTTTCCTGTGCTAGTGTACAATTTTATGTCTTAGTGCTGTGAATATATGGTATGTCCATAGGCTGGAAACGTAGAGATGTCAGTAAGAATTTATCTGGAATATTATGGACAGTTGTGGCCACTTACAAGACAATATGGCTATTCTTGAATCAGTTCAGAGTACAGCAACCAGGTAATCTTTTTAGCAAAGATTTTAACGAGAGATTTTAATTCAACCAACCTCTTTCAAAATTCTAAGAGCATTGACAAATTCAGAATCAAAAGTAAAACATGAACCAGAGGACACAAGTGGAAACTATAGCAAAATACATTTAAAACTAAGAACAGTGGGCAGTTTTTAGCACAAAGGGTTGTGGGAGTCATCAAGAAGCTATCCAGCCATATTTCAAAGCTGATACCCTGGCTTCTTTTAAGAAACAGCTAAATTACATCTTTGGCTCATTTTCTCATTTGTAACCTTTCTTATGATTTTTTAAGTAAATGCTTTTATCCATGCACAGCATTTGTATTCTATAATACACATCTTTGTTTGTTTTCCAGACCTGCTGGCCATGACAGAATACACTTCTCTTCTTCAGCTGCTCTGTCCAGATTTCCCAGTAGAAGTGGTGCAAAATGCAGCAAGGTCAGTGATATAAGTCCTGCAATGTTCTGCAGTTTTAATTTAAATGTGGTAGTTATTAGTCAAAAAGTCATGGTTCTTATTTAACTATTGTAAATTTCTGTTTATACACATTACTACATGCTCAATCTATGCATGTAAAATTAAAGTAACGTTTAAGAGCTAAAACGCAAAAAATATCTGAATCTCAGAGTAAAATCATTTTAGTTTTGGTTAACACTGCGGTGTGTAATTCATTATAATCAGATTCCAACAGACATTGTATTGTGATGATAGCTTTGATGCTTCTGTTATGAACTCCTTTACCTAACACAGGGTGGAAGTACTTAGCTACAGTAATTCTGTATATCTTCTTTCTAAGAAATGAGACATGGGTACATTTATTCTGATGGTACATAAGGCCAGGAATTTGCTTTAACTCCATGTACCGGTTAATTACAGACAACTTCATAAAACCCAGATCTTAAACAGGGAGTTTAAAAAGTACAGTATGAACCTAAGCCTGTATTTTAGATTAAAGTAAAATGTAACCTAATATTTTGAATCTTGTGTGGTCTTAAGTCCAGGTTTTAAAAGATTGTGTAAGTCTGTTTGGGCAATATGAAAACACTATGTTTTCTCTGATTACCTATTTTACTAATTTGCATGTCTTATTTTTGTGTTGACTTGGGGCAGTGAAGGACTAAATGAGTGAATGGCATTGAAATTGTGTACTGAGAGAAAATTTCTTGTGGATCCTTGTTTTAAGTTCACATCTTTTTCGATTTGCAGAATAAGCAACATACATTTAGAGAGGAAAGGCAAAACTCATAAATGAGAAAGCCCATAAATCTGCTATGCTTGGCATAATCACAGCCATAAAGCAATTATGTAAACAATTCTTAACACCGGCTTGATACTGGAGAAACCATTTTGTCCCATTTGTAGCCTGTGAGCCAGTTTGCCCCTGTGCACCAGCTGGGCACTTGTCTTGGATGGGAATTTGGCTTAGACACAGCTTGGCCTCTTTGTATTAGGGGAAATATAAAAGATATATAAGAAAAAAACTCCATGAATATTTTTTAAAACTTAATGAACAAGAAAGTAATAAGCACTTTAGTATGTCCCACAGTGAAACGGCTTAATTATTTTTACCTACTGTAGGTATCTAATTAATTTATTTCTTAATCAGTTATGATTTTTAAAGGCAAACACAAGGTTCAATGATCTGTCAAGAGATGGACCTCAAGGTGATGAATAAGGTTAAATGACCTGCAGTGTAAGACTAAGATTCTTTGACAAGGACGGTGTAATATTTCTGATCGTTATCACTGAGATGGGTGTAGGCGGTCATTGTATAACTGCACCAACATAATAAAGATTTTCAAAAAGAGACAAATGTATTTTGACTTTTGATGTTTTTTCTTTGTGTGTTTGTAGAAAGGAAATTCATAATCACAGTTTTATGATTTTTTAATAATTAATATTTTGTTATTTAAGAATGCAAAAATTATATATGATCTTAGAATACAACACTGAAACACTAATGTTCTAGTACCACTAGCATTGCTTGAAATGTAATCTGATCTCTGAACACTAAGGAATTTCTTTATCCTTTGTATTGGGAGGAATTCTTCTGTTTTTGGTGAACGCACTAGAAAAAAAAACTTTCTTTATATTTATCACAGGTGCACTGCTGTAAGGAGAAAGTGCATGCTGGCTTCTTTTCAGATTTGCTTCTGAATGAGTTTGTTTATTTTAAATATTTCTATTAACCTGAGGGGGATATTTGTTCTTCCTGTCATTGCAAGATCCTGTTTCATCTACACATTGAAGATTGGCATAGCAGCATACTGTATGTAATGGTAAAAGAGAACTTCATTATACCAGCAGAACTGTACTGTGACAAAGTGTACTTTGTCTATTTGAATCTCCAATGCCAAATCATCCACTGCAGTGGATATAAGTACAAGGTGTTATTAATTTAATTGGAAATTAGAAGTTCAGAATCTTCTTAAAAAGAGAATTTAAGAGGGATACTCTATTTTTAAAAATCTAACATAAGTCAATATTTCTTCTAAATCCAGAATGTAGTTATTTTCCTATGACTGAAGAGCAATTATTTCAACTATAAAATGTAAGAACTTTGTTTCTTCTGATTTACATACAGTAACTGTCAAAATGTACCTTTTGAGACTTGGATTAAACTGTATTGCTTATTGAGCAATATTGCTTTAGAGCAAAACCGCTATAGCTTCAGTTTCAATTGTTCTTAAATTAATCAATAATATTTTAATAATTTTAAATCAGTGTCCCACAGATATCTTTATTCTGGAATGTCTATTTGTCTGTGGGGACTTTGCCTTAAAAGTTTTAATTCATTTTAGATTTGTCTCACATGAATAAGACCGTCAAAATGAATTATTTGCAAGAAGTGCTTATGTAGACAAGTTCAAGATTGTAAAAATGCATTGGATACTATTTATTATCCAATGAAAAAAAAGTCTGCTGTAAACAAGCTGTTTATACAGCGTTTCACACTTTTACACTTCTTGGCATCTGATCTGTAGAACAGTAGCAGTTCAATAAACACATACCTGTAACTGGGCCATATGGTAGTGTTTAGTACTCTTTATTGATTGTCTTTATAATCATCAATACGTCAATTTCAATAAATCTTTAGCAGTTTACAGTTAAAAATTGTTATATGATTATAACAGAATAAATATATGCAAATACATGCTCCAGTCCTTTGATAATTACAACGTTTTCTGTAAGTTGCAGTTTTTTTTGGCAATGTGTACATCGGTTTTCCTTGGCACTTGCGTTTAAATGTGGATTTCAGCTTAGCTTGAATACATTCTGGAGTCAATACAGCCTTTATAGATCAACTTAATTGTTCCACCAATCAGCGTTTAAAAGGGTTCAGTAGTGTGTTTTGCTTTTATCATGCAAAGCAGGGCTTGTTCCATTCTGTCCCTGTAAATCACAAGCACTTCATTAAACGATAATAAATCCTGGAAATGGTTCTTGTCTTTTCGACTGCATGCCGCAAGTTCCACTTCTGTATGATGAAAACAGCTTTAGCATGTGCCTTCCCCTTTATGTATTCTCATTGTCCATAGTCTTAATTATTCTGGCTACTAAAGTCAATCACAACTGAAACTGGCTCCACATTTAAAATGCAAATCTTTTCTGTCGCTATATATCAGATATATTTTTACATGGGTCTGTGCTACATTACCAGATTTGGTATTTATCAAAAATATTGTATTGAATCCATGCCATTACTCACCTTTTGTTTAGTTTTAATATATTATCTGTACAAGGTAGCTAACTTTAAGATAGCAACACCCTGTATAAATACCCAGCCACATAACTAATGCATGTTTCTACAAATAAAGGATTGTGCTGATGGATGATGCTATGGACTGCCTGATGTCGTTTGCTGACTTTCTCTATGCATTTCAAATTCAGTTCTACTATGAGGGTAAGTATAACATTTGTAGCATAATATTCTGCATACAGTGCAGACAATTATAAGTGTTAAGACTTTTTCTGCTAAGGTCTCTATTTCTTTTGCTTTATAATGAAGGTAAAAATATTTTGTATAAAAAGCTTAGATTTTCATAACATTTCACATGTATTA